CTTTTTCTTTTTCTTTTTCTTTTTCTTTTTCTTTTTCTTTTTCTTTTCCTTTTTTTGTTTTTTTGAGACAGGATCTCCTTGTGTAGCCCTGGCTGGTCTGAAACTCTCTATGTAGACCAGACTGGGCTTGAAATCACAGAGCTTCACCTGCCTTATCCTCCCCTGTGCTGGGATTTGAAGGCCTATGTCATCATGGCCCACTTAGTATGTTTAACCCGTGCTTCATCTTCTCTTCACCTTTTCAGTGTAACCCAGCCAAACATTTCTGTCTCTCAGTGGTAATGATTTTCACGGCTGGTAAAATCTTAGATATCCACTTCCAGGTACATCTGCCTATTTGAACTATGACTAGCAGGCAGCATCCTTTGTCTGTGTGATCTCGATCCCACACCTCTTCCTGCCACAGTCTTTCCACAGCTAACGTGGCTCTCTCATCCCTGGACTGTAGGCTGACGCTTGGTTGCTTTCTCCTAACTTTTATCTCAAGACTGTACCACAGTTCCTGGTCCTCCTTTGGTGATCATATCTATCTGTTGAATCATGTAACAACAAAACCTCTGACATTCTTTGATGAGTGTTGTCTCTTCTGTTATGACATTCTTTTCCTTCACATTTTCCATGTAACTAAATTCTCCTCATCCTTCGTCTCTCTCAGCAGAAAGGTCACTATCCAGAGAAGATGCCTTTGGCTTCACAAGTTAAAATGTGAGACTGACATTCTACCTACCAAATGAAAAAGCACCTATCACAATTTTAAATAACCACTTGAAAGCACACTCTCTGTGGCCTGTAATATAAATAATTCCACATGTTTCTTGACACTTTGTCTTTCCGGGATCCTGTGAAAGCCATAGGCCTGCTCTTTCCAGCATTGGATCCTTAGATTCCAGCCCGGTGTCAGGAATGAAGTGGGCAGTCCATGTAACACTTGCTGAATGAGTAAATGAGTTCACTCTAAGGAGTGAATTACTGAGTTTGAGGGTCTGAATATTTCAGGATTATTAATGCATATTGCTCAATGACTTTCCATAAAGACTGTTGCATTTACATACCCACCAACAGTGTCTGAGATTGCTTTATCTTTGTTAGTATTATTAGGCTTTATTCTTTACTAATTTGATAAATCATAGAATAGTGCTTTATAGTTTTAATTTGCATGCCTTTGGTTATTAATGTGAGTAAAGCCCCTCCCCCACCCGTTAGCCTCTTGTGAAGACTACTGTGCTTAGCATATCTATTCTTGGTCTTCTTATCTGTAATCAGCTCCATCCTTTATGCTGTGATAGGATTAAGTTCTTGAAAATAGGGCTTTTATTTTGCCATTTTCCTCTTCAAGAGCCTTTGCTTTCCTGCTGTGCTCTATAGTATCAAAGATAAGCCCACTCAGCCCCTGCCCTTTGCAGGCCTTTTGAGATCTGGACCCATTTCACCTACCCAACCCTCTCCCACTGTTCCTCAGTGTGATGTCATTACTGTCTCTGGATTTGATTGATTCCACTTTTGTGCTGTTCCTTCTGCTAGCCTGCTTCTCTGAACCTTTGAAACCCTGACACCAGGTCTCACAGCTGACCTCTTTCTGAAGTGTTTCAGAACAACCCTGTCCTGTAGTAAGTCTCCCTTTACCGTGATTGTCTGAACCTTCCTGTCTCATGTTCGTTATCCTGTTGCCTTCTATTTACTCTCTGATTATATTGTGTTTCTCATGTGCATTAATTATTGGTTGCTAGGTAACTGGAGTATTGTAAACTTAGTGACTTAAAGCAAGACACATTTGTCTCGTCAGTGTCTGTCTGTCCAGAAGTCCCGGTGTAGATTGTGGGGGTGGCTCTTTACTCCATCAGAACAGCAGAGAAGCATCTAGAGAATCTCCTAAGATAGTGGCAGTTACCCCTCTGTGCAGTACAGTCCTGGAAGGAAGTCACAGAAGGAAGTCTGTCGCCATGTGGAAATGACTCCTGCATTTTTTACTGTAACTGTGGAAGTCATGGGCATCGTCTTTGCCATATTTTTTGCTGCTGAGGCACAAATTCCAGGTCTTACTCAAACTCATCGAAGAAAGAATTGCATAAGGACCCGAACAAAAGAATCAGGGGTAAGGGAGGTATCTTGGACTCTCTCTTGCACTGCCACGCCCTGTCTTCCTGGAAGCAACGTTTTTTGTCGTACTCAGCTCTGAGTACTCCTGTTCCTAGATAGGGGTTTATTTAATTGTAATTATCACAGGAGGAAAGCCAGGCGAGAGGCAGGAGAAGGGGTCAGTTCTGTGTCATTTTAACCAAATGTTTAAGTTGCCAAGAAAAATATAAGAATGTTCTTACTAGAAGCTGGGCGGCGGTGGCGCACGCCTTTAATCCCAGCACCCGGGAGGCAGAGACAGGCTGATGTCTGTGAGTTTGGGGCCAGCCTGGTCTACAAGAGCTAGTTCCAGGACAGGCTCCAAAGCTACAGAGAAATCCTGTCTTGGGGAGGGGGGAGGAAAAGAATGTTCTTACTAGAAAAGAAAAATCCTATTGACCCTTCTAATTGTAATGTTTTTCTCCCTCCCAGTAACACTTTGCATCTGACAGTGATGTGTTTGTTGGTGTAACAAGGTTGTATAGGGAACTACTCCCTCAGTGTTAATACAGTACACGAAAGCCTCGACTTCAGATATAATTAAAATTATTTCTGAGTTGATTGCTTAAGAAATGTAACACTTTCCTGCATACAAGCAAAATCTGAGAAGGGTCTAAGTCTGGGTCAACTCAGATAAGCTCATCTTTATAGAGCCAGAGAGTTCTAAATTATGTGAGATTATTTATCTAACAACAGCCTGCCAAACACTCGTGAATGGAGAGTGACTTACCTTGTAGCTGAGCTTTGGTGATGATGCTACCCATCATGAGTTGGGCTTAGCGCCCAACTTTTGATTGTAGGGAGTGGGTGGTAAACTGATTGGCAGCTCCAGAAATAAATCTCTTCTGCCACTCTAATTTGGCCCATATTTTTTGAATCTATAATGTGTAAGCATCATTAGAATGTATGTGAAAGTTATTGCTATCATTAGTATTATAAAGAGAAGAGTTTATTAGTCTCACAGGCTGCTCTGTTGCTTATGCCTCTGTTGTGGCCAGATGGTCAATGTCATCGCATGATGGTGGGATAGGTGCTGGGAACAGTGACATCTGAAGACAGGAGTGGTGGTGTGGGCGTCCCTTCTCATGCGTGTCAGTGCGGGCGGAGCAGAGATGCATCAGTTTGTGTTCAGATGCCTGAATTAGTGCAGGGAAATGTGCTGAGACAAGGAGTCTCACTTTGTTGGCCTCTGAGAGGAGGCCTGAGGTAGTGGGAAGGGCTTGGTGTTTCCACAACAAATATTCTCGCTTTCTGGGTACCCAGAGGAGAGGGTATGACAAGGGGGCAGCGCTCCTAGGGTAGGGAGGAAAGGCATGTTTTTAGTTATTCTGACTGAGGCAGTCTGTCCTGAGAACCTTGCCCTCCTCCTACACACACGATTTTGCTAAGTGTCAGCTTTCTTTATTATACTGAGAAGTTTCCCCAATATTGATTTCTTTATAGGTTCTGAAGATGTGCTTTCCCAACAATCTAATTTTCTGATGTTTTGCATAATCTTCTGGGAAGTGGAGTGAAAACTACCAGAATGTAGTGAATTTAGCTAGCAGGTTGCCACATCTGTGCTGGAAGGGACCTTTCGATCATTGAGCCCCTGTGTTATCTAGGACCTGGCATCTAAGACATCTGAGTGACTTTTGGAGACATGTAAGAATACTCCTTTATATCCCCATGGAACTGATCCAGGAAGTAAACACTTGCAAATACCAAAATCAGTTCCTGCTTGCATTCCTCTTATAAATGGCCTAGTATTTGCTTATAGCCTATGCATGTCCTTCTGTGGACTTAACCATCTCTAAATTATTTATAATACCTAATACTGAGTTAAGAGCTGTTACGCCATATTGTTTAGAGGATATTAAGAAAAATAATTCTGAATATGACAATAAAGGTGAATTTTTCCTCTAATTTATTATTATTATTATTATTTTATTATTTATGTATTGGCTGTGTTCAGTTATACAGACAGGTACAGAGCCTACGGCTCTGGGCACCGACTCCAATAGCAGGCTAGTCTCAGCTCATCCTCTGTCTATGTCCTGCCCCATCTTTTCTGCATGCACTGCCTCCTGTGAGCTGTCCAGTGTTTTTGGGTTTGCACCTTTTCCATTCTGGAGATTCCTGTCCACATTTAAACTGAAAACAGCTGTTAGGGAACATGGAGGGGAGTAGGTTCCCTAAAATCATAACCACAGAGTCCTTGAAAGAGACCGAATCTCTAAGGTTTTAAAGAATTTGAAAGCAATCGCAAGTTTCTTTTTCTGTTAGGAATATAAACTGTGATGGTGAACTACATAATTTTCATTTTGTAGTTAGATTTTTGTTTTATGATTTATGTTTTTAATATTTATAGAAACATACCTACCATATAGTTCTTAAGTAAGATAAGTGTTTCTTGAGTACTGGTCTTATTTTGAAGAAGTGTTGAGTTTTTTTTTAGGACACTAATGGCCAGTGTCCTTAAAGTTTACCCACTCCATCTCATCTACCCCACATCTCTGGTCAGTGCCTAAGTTTGTGTAAAGGCTTATGTGGGGAGTTAGTAATGTCACTGTACCACTGTGTAGGATGGATTCACTGGTTCCATACCTGGTCATATAGTCTTCTGTTTTCCAGACAGTGGTTTTCTTTAGTAAGTCAATGTTTTGGTTGTCGTTGTTGTTTTGTTTCTCAGACAAGACCTGCCTGGGCCAGCTACCTCATCCAGCGCTTCTGCCTCAGCCCCTCGATTTCTGAGATTACAGTTGTGTGCTGTTTTGCCTGATGTAACGTAATATCTCTTTAAGAAATATTAAAAAGGGTTTTCAAATCTTGTTGGCTGAAAATCTTTGGCTCTGTTTGAAAAAGAAAAATAGATGCAGGTAAAGTTTGCTACAATGCTTGTTTTGAGGCTCCTGTGACCAGACTTCTCTTTTTACTGCTGTGTGCCCAAGGCTGTTCATTCACCTTTCTTGAAAATTCTGGCTAGGCAGTGGTGTCTCACACCTTTCATTCCAACACCTGGGAGACAGAGGCAGGTGGGTCTCTGTGAGTTCCAGACCAGCCGTAGCTATGTAGAGAGATCCTATCACTATTACCCCACCACCCCCTCAAAAAAGTATACTTGTTTTCTTTGGGGCTGGAGAGATGGCTAAGCAGCTAAGCACACTGACTGCTTTCCCAGAGGGCCTGAGTTCAATTCCCAGTGTCCACATGACTGCCACAACCATCTATACTTGTAGTCTCATGGGATCCAGTTCCCTCTTCTGACGTGCACAGACGAAGCATCCATATACATAAAATACATCATACATAATAAATCATTAACAACAATTAAAAAAGAATTGTAGTTATTTTATCTGGCCCTTAGCATACATTCATTGAAAATCAGTTGTGAGTTCCAGGCCTCTTCTCGTGGTAACGAAGTAGAAAGTAGCCCAAATGGCTGGGGAAAGTAAAGTTGACTCAAGTTCAGCTTTTCACTGTGCACTCTTTGTCTTGGTCATTTTCTTTGGGTTAGAGTGTAAATCTGAGTGTCTAAACTTTACATATTCTCTTGAGCTACATAGACATACTTTTTTATCTCATGGAAATTATAATCTGGTGAAAAACATAGAACTTGGTAGAATCACAGCATCACCACTACTGTAGCTGGAGGAAGTATTATCGGAGAGCAGTTTCAGGGTGCAGGAGCTTGCAATGGGAGAACAGGTCTCAGACCCAGCAGACCCACAATGAGTGACGATGTAGAAGTATAACTGTTGACAAGGGTCATTATTCATGTGTTCATTATTAAGAAGAAAAATGGTTACTGAACAGTATAGAGAGGCTAGTTTTATTAATAAATGACAAGTGTACATATCGGTTATAGAATGACACAGAAATACTGCTGTTATTGTGGATCAGTAGATAGATTTGATCCTCTGAGTTATTTTTTACACGTGACATGTATGTTTGTATTACCTGCATTAACTTAAGGACAGAGACAATCACAATCCTTGTCCTTGAAGAGCTTATATCCTAGTGAGAGAGACAAATGCAGAGGTGAACAGCAGCAGTGGCTCCATCCATTGTCACCTTGTGACTCCCTGTCCTAGCAAAGAGAGAAGCAGGGCAATTGGGTAGGAAGACTAGAAGCACCACCGGGTTAGTTTATTTATTGCTATTGGAACAAATTGCTGTAACCTACTGATTGTAAACAATGGGGTTCTATAGACAACAGTCTGGGTCTTTGCTGGTTCTCTATTCCAGGCTTCCCTAAGGCTAGAGTCAAAGCATTGGCAGAGCTACAGAGCTTCCTCATTGATCTGGGAGTGAGTCATCTTCACACCTTATTTTAGTTCCAGCTCCTGTGGCTTTAGGATTGAGGTTCCCTTCCCTTCCTTCCTTATTATTGCAAGGAGTTGTTTTCAGTGCCTACCATCAACCCAAGTATCCTTTACCTGTGTGTGCCTCAGGAGGCATCGTCAATGGGTCAAGGCCCTCCCGTGATGAGTCTTCCCTCGGGGCAGCTTCTTAGTTCTAGGTGAAAGAGCCTCAACCAGCAATGGAGGGCTGAAAAATAAGGTAGGTTCAGTCAGATGTAGAACCCCAGTTTGGTAGGTAGAGGTTCAGGTTAAGGCTTACCGTCTTAGCCTTAGAGGTTGGGGTTCTTGCAGGCCAGGCTAAGGCAGGGTGAATTTCCAGCTGTCCCGCGGACTCGAAGCAGCGAGGTGAGATATAGTACTTTTCTCCATTGTACTGCAGCTTGAGTTTTCCAGTGCTCTTCAGAGCAGCCAGCAGCTCACCTGCTTGTTTCCACCGTTCGTTTAAATAGCTGGATATGTTCGCAGTCTTTGATATGTTCTTAGTCTGTGATATCTTCTCAGTCTTCAGCATTTTTGCTTAGCTTTGAAAGAAATCCCCAACCCCAGTCTCCCATCAAGTACTTTCAGGTGCCAACCTTAGCTCGCTAGCTTCTGGTTTCGCATAAAATGAGAAAGAATACCCTAGATAGAGACCTCAAATGAACCTGCGTTTGTTGGCTTCCTATCCCACAAGCATCATCTGCCTTCAGAAATGGGAACACAAGATCAAACTGAAACTTGCTGTATCGTTTATCGCATTTTCTCCAGGCCTGTTTTCGCTCGCAGAAAACGTTAGCGATTGTAAAATCTAAATTTTCAAATGGCAAGTGTATACAGGAGGCATAGTTGCGAAAATGATTTTTGTTATATTTTGACATCTCATTACTTTTTAGCTTTAACTTAAATTTTAAAAAAAAAGTAATTTCTAGTGGGATTCTGCCCATAGCATAGTACTTGCTGTGCCTGACACTGCTCGCGGGCTGCAGAGGTCATCAGTTGTGTGCGTCATCTCTAGGAAATGCAGGGCATGGCAGTCGAGCAGGGAAGTGGAGAGCTACTTAACAGAATTAGATCACACGAGGGCGGCTCAGCAAGCAGGGCGATTCGTTTCCTTCAGTGCAGGACTAGTGTGCACACTTGCCATCCCTAAGTTGGCAGCTGGTGCACATGCTGGAGCCAGAGGTTTTCAGTGGGAGCTGGTTCCATGCTAACCTGGAGCTGTAAACATCTTTTCAGAGCTTTTCAGAGACCTTTGTAACTTACTTGGGATAATCATTAACCACTTCAGCTAGAAGTTTCATAGACTCCTAGCTGCTTTGTACCTGTCCATGGGTGTGAATGAATCGGTCTGCGTTGAGGGCATCTAGGGTACTAAAAGGCATGCAGCTTTCCCGTGGCCACCTTTACTTCTGGTGCCAGCCAGCTGTAGGTGCAGAGCTCAGTGATTACTCTTGGGCTCAAGTATTTGCCAGAAGAACCCCCAAAAGTCATTGAAAGCTTTTGTAGTCATTCTTCCGGTGTATTCCACATAAAGAATGTGGGTTAGCCAACAAAAGGAGCACGTTGTTCTTATCCATGGAAAGAGGGAAGCAAGGTAGAATTGAGCACAGAATAGCAGTGTCAAGTGCGGAGCACAGGCATCTAGGAAGCTCACCCAAAGCCTGGCGTATTTCAGTGTGTCTTTATTGTGTAGATGACTTAGTCTTTAGCTCTCTCCTTCAGAAGTAAAATGGATACCATGTGATCCCAGACTCCTAGTTTACACAATGATACTGGTCTTCCTAGAATAATCCGCCCCAGTCTGTCCCTACAGTGTCTTCCGGCACTGTGAATCATATTGTAAGGCCCATGTGTCATGACCCAAAGCCCAGTTAAACAAAGACACTCCTTCGATGCAGAGAGAAACTCCAGAAATCAAGAGCAAAGTTTAGCTCTCTCTGAATAAAGTTAAATTCTCACCTGCATACGGTCGTCTAGATTAAGTTGGATTTTGCAAAGGGCATTTTTAAGAAGGAATTTTAGATATTTTATATTATGGTTTTATTAAGGCAAATTACATATAATAAAATGACATATCCACGTAGAATTTTGGTGAATATATACAATTAAGCACTGTCTACAGCGATCCTTATTCCCTTTTATAGTCAGCCCTTCCTCCATCCTGCAGAACCCAGGCAGCCACCGATCTGCTTTTTGTCTATATAGTTTTACATTTTAGGATTTTTATACACACAAACATGTGATATGTAGTGTTAGGTTTTTAAAATACATACACCATCCTACCTGGATTGTTTTTTGACTCTTTTTTTAAACATAACATAAAAATGTTATTAACATAATATTCATTTTTATAAATATATCAGTAGTTTAATTTCTTTTAAAATTGCTGAGCAATATTTCATTGTGTATTACGTTTTACTTATTCAGCTTTTTTTTAATTAAAAAATATTTTCTTAACCTTCACAAGTCACGCTGGCCTGCAAACTCGTGCACATGATTTTGTAAGGACATGCATTTCAGTATTCTTGGGTGGATGCTAGGATTTGGATGTTCTCACATCCAAATTGGTTGCACCATTTGCATCTCTGTTAGGTAAAGTGGGAGGGTTCTAATTGGTCTGTCTTCTCATGGCATTTTGTGTTGTCTATTTTTAGCTATTCTGGTGGGTGTATAATGGTGCCTCATTGTCTTATGGTTGCAATTCACATTTCACTTTTCAGTCTTTTTACTTGTTCTTAATTTCTATTCCAAAATGACCAGCGGCACTTTTAAAGTCGTGACGGGCTGCTCACCTGTCTTTTGTGAGGTACTTATACCTCTCACATTTTTTAATGAGCATTGGTGTTTTGCCTGCTTGGTTGTCCTCGTGAGGGTGTTGGGTCCCCTGAAACTGACATTACAGACAGATGTGAGCTGCCATGTGTGTGCTGGGAATTGAATGCAGGTCCTGGAAAAGCACCCAGTGCTCTTATCCACTGAACCCTCTCTCCAGCCCCCTTTCACTTTTTTTTAAAAAACTATTTGGTTTTTATAAAGGAATTTCAAGAATGACTTATAATTTTAATAGAAGGCCTTTATGATCTGGATAGCAGACCTTTGTTGGGTATATGTTTTGGTGATATCTTCTGTAGTGTATGTTTTACCCTTTTGTTTTCTTGGGAAAATTTTTTATGTGTGTGTGTGTGTGTGTGTGTGTGTGTGTGTGTGTGTGTGAGGAAATCAGAAGAGTGTGTTGAAGCCCTTGAAGCTGGAGTTACAGGCAGTGGTGAGTCACGAGGTGTAGGTGCTAGGATCCTCTGTAAGAGTGGCAAGTGTTCTTCACCACTGAGCCATCTCTTTCCAGTGCTGTCTTTGTTTTCTCCATGGTGTGTGTGTGTGTGTGTGTGTGTGTAGACTAGAACTCAGTCTTATTTATTTATTTATTTATTTATTTTCAGTTTTTCAAGACAGGACTTCTCTGTAGCTTTGGAGCCTGTCCTGAATCTAGCTCTTGTAGACCAGGTTGGCCTTGAACTCAAAGAGATCCTCCTGCCTCTGCCTCCTGAGTGCTGGGATAAAAGGTGTGCACCACCACTGCCCGGTTTAGGGGTCGGTGTTAGCTGGTGGTTCTCATGAGCCCTCCAGCTTTTTGAGATATGTTTTGCTAGGACCGTTAAACTGGGATGACCCATGAATACAAGAGATCCTGCTGTCTCCTCCCAGTGTTCTGAGCTGTTTGCATGGTTCTGTGGACTGATCTCAGATCTTCAGGCTTGTGTGGCAAGTCCTTTCCTTGCTGAGCCATCTCTACAGCTCTCCTACTAGTAACCTGGGGAGGAAAGGTTTCAGTTTTGATGATCTTTTCATGGGTTGTGCAATTTTCTGTTCTAAGACTTTATTTCTTTGCCCCAAAGTCACAAAGATTTTTTTTTCTGTGCTTTATTAAGGACTTTTTGTTGTTGTTGTTGTTATTTCTATGGTGGTTTTTGTTTGTTGGTTGGTTGTTTTTGTTTTTTTGTTTTGTCTCATTCTATTTTATTTATTTATTTAGAGTTGTGTTTTTTTTTTTTTTTTTTTTGAGACAGGGTTTCTCTCTGTAGCCTTGGCTAACCCAGAACTGGCACTGACTCTGTAGACCAGGCTGGGGAGATCCGCCTGCTTCTGCCTCCCTAATACTAGGATTAAAGGTGTGCACCGCCCCTGCCAGCTGTGTGCGTCATTTTCAACAATATAGGTCCTGGGAAGAACTAGTCAGGCCTGACACCCTGCCCCAAAGGAAGATGCGCACGTCCCTGTGGCATTTATCAGAAAGACTCACCTTCCCCACTGAATGACCTTGGCACTTTTTGTTGACAATTCTTTTTAAGTTTGAAGTCGTAAAAGGAGACTGGTAGGGGCAGCTACCAAGGTTAGGCAGGGATAGAAATAATTCGCCTCCAGCAAACGAGGATGCGGTCTTTGCATACCATTATTTTACATAGCTAGTTACAGCAAATCATAAAAGAGATAAATGGAATGTGTGTCTGCCATTAGAGAGAGCTAATGCTGTTTGCCAGCGACAAGGGGCTGCAACATGGGCTGCTGAGGAGACACAACAAAACATGCCGCAAACGAGACGCTTAAATTGCAGGTTACAAAATGTATTCCTCCATGAATCCAGCTGTTTATTTTATTATTATGCTGAAAACATAATGAAAAAGATAATACTTTTGTTTTTCCAGTCTATCTTTCTGTACCTGCACACACACATGCATATTTATAAATTGCCAAGTGCAGAGAATTAGAATATTTTAATAGCAGGAAAGCAGAACAATAATAAAAGCAAAATCTCCTCCTAGTGGGTAGTCTCAGTGCAGTAAATACAACAATACAACCAATGTTAATTTATAGACTTAATACAGTACCAGTTAAGACCCAACAGGATAGTGAATTAATCATGGTTGTTATAAATCATAAAATAAAAAGCAGATAACATTTTTCCCTACTTGGGAATGCTTTAAAAATTATTCTTGTTTCCACCAAGGAAAGGACAGGTCTCCTATGAGTATCTACAAACATAGCATATCAAGTTGCAAGAAGACTTTGTACTTCCCCATGTATTAAGGCTGGGCAAGGCAATGAGGAATAGGATCCCAAAAGCCAGGATAGGAGTTGATGATAACCCCTGCATAGACGAAGCTATACAACTGTAAAATATATGCAGAGGGCCTAGGTCAGTTCCATGCAGACTCCCTGGTTATCAGTTCCGTCTCTGTGAGCCACTATGGACACAGGTTAGTTGAAGAGGAGGAGGTTAGGGGTTGGGGAACGAGGGGTGTCGAGGAGGAACTGGGAGGAGAGGAGGTAGGGGAAACAGAGGTTGGGATGTAAAATAAAAATAAAAAACCCCACAGCATAGAATTCATTGATTAGAATACTAAACATGGAGTTTGATATGAGGCAGCAACTCTCCTTTTAGATCTGAATGATATGTACCCATAAAAGATGATAACACTTGTCCTGTTTTGTGCAAGTCCGTGGGAGGCCCCTTTCTGAATGGAGCTGATGGAGGAGTGGATGGGAAGGGGGTAGATGGGAGTCAGGTAGGGAATGGGAGGAGAGGAGGGAGGGAAAACAGTGATCAGTATGTAATATAAATGAAAAAATATTAATTTAATAGAAGAAGGAAAAATATTCTTGTTTACAAAATAATTTCAGAGGATTAAAATTTCATGTATATTGTAAGACAGTGTGCATGAGAGGGAGAGGTTGAGCCACACAGTGGAAGTCTAAGAAGTAAGACAGGATGTCTAAGCTCAGGGTAGTTACTGAAGTTGAATACCAAATGAGCTATGAACTTTCAGGCTTTGAAACAGAAAAAGAAACTTGTGGGTTTTTTCAGAGGTTGGGAACCCAAAAGCCACAAGGTAAACACTCTTAAGTTACCTAAATAGACTGGGGTGTAAGACCGTAGCGGACACTGGGTACTTTGAACTCTATACACTGGGGTTTTGTGTGATTCTAACTGAGATATGGAATGTAGATAGACGAGACTGTGATACTATGGTTATTTTTCTTTTCATGTGTATGTGTTTTTCTTTTGTGTGTATGTGTGACCATATGTGTACATGGAAGTCCAAGGTTTATGTTGGGAGTCTTCTTCCAGCTTATTCTTTGAAACAGCTTCTTAGTTGAACCCAGACTCAATTATATAGTGAGTCTTTAGTCTCATATATATATAGG